CACAACTTATTAGTAAGGATTTGTGTTAATAAATACAGCAAGTTAGATCCCATGGGGATCACACTTACTGATACAAGGCTTACTGATGAAGGGGAGCAGGCAACCTTCACAAGGGACGTGGAGTGAAGAGTATGGAAAGAGAAGTAGGGAGCAAGTGGATGAAATTCCAGGAAGAAACAGGTGGTGAAGCAAAGAAGCCACAAAACACAGAGTCACTCCACTATATATTGCTGTGAAGTACCTCCTGACTTGAAGGCAGTATATCAAATGCAAAGATTATTATTCTACTTCCAGATTCCAAATCAAGACTAGATTTAAAAGTTTGCCAAAATTCTGCACAATCCTTCTCCCCTTCATTGATAATTTTGTAATGTTTGGAACAGATACAAAAATAGTTTGTCTAAAAGCAGATACAATTTGTGGAGAACAACCCAGAAAACTGTGGCACACAAGGCAATCGAACAATCCTACAGAGCAGGGATGGCCAACAGTAGGGTGTATTACACATGTGTAAAATAGCCACTCAAATTGGCCATCCCTTCTGTAAAACATCAGTACGATGGAAATCCAAGTTCAAATCTGAGATTTTATATCTTGTTCACCTAGATGTAGGCATTAATTTATATTAAAGCACTGTTTCAGCTGACTGCATGTATATGGCCTCCTGCCATATTCCTCAATGCCAAAGATGAGCATTATACCAGGATTTATCTCAACACCAAAGACTTACAGTTTCAAATTTCCAAATTCACAGGCTGTGAAAAAGACAGGGTTCATATTTGAGGCTTTATATTTGAAGTAAAATTACATATTAAAAAAAACAGTAACATTGTGCCAGTGAGGGCTGTCCAACGAGGCGGAGATATGCACGGGAAGGAAAGCACTCGAATAATACATTTAAGAATTACATTTAGGAGGAAAATGTTTATGAACCTTTCCCCTGCCTCCCACCCCACCCCTCCATCTTTTTACAGAATAAAGATATTTATATAATACTTTGATTTAATATGGCATCTTTCACATTGGGAGGTCATCTCAAATGCTTCATAAGATTTACTGCCAGCTGTATTGATTCTATATTTTTTAGGTGAGTACAGCCGATTTGCCCGTGGCAATGTCCAACAAACAGCCATGAAATTAAATTTTGTTCTGGTTGGTACTGTGCTACAGATTAGTAAGGTGCAGGCTAGCCTCTATGAATCCTCGTACACATAGGGGTGAAATTTCCAACATTTTATAATTACCACATCCAATCTGTTATAAAACATTGCCTAATGGAGTGATGCGACTTAATAAAGCGATATTTTCTCTCAAAGGAATGTTTGGTTCATATTTAAAGGTCACCATAAGCACCGTCGATAAGGAGGGAGGGGGCAAGGCGGAGGGATTGATGGAGAGAATTTCAAAGTTTCAAGCATAGCAGCACGGCTACAGATGAGTAAGCAGGTAGGAGAAATAGGGAGGTGCTGGGGCATGAAAGTTCTGTGATAGGGAGCCAGTGTAGCCTGGCAAGGGCTGGTGTGATGGGGGTAGTGCGGCTGGGGAGAGCAGTGAGGAGGGCATTGGAATAGTTGAGGCAAGAGAAGAAGAAGGCATGAATGAGGGTCTCGGCTTCATTGGGTGGGAGGTATGGTTGGAGGCAGGCAATGTGACAGAAGTGGAGGAAAGCTAGCGTGGTACAGCAAAGATTGCTGGGGATTGAATCTGATGCGTGGGCTCTGTACTGATTTGGTAAGTCTTAGGGAAAGGCTGGGGAGGTTGAGGAGGTCAGAGCTGCAAGAGAGAGACGTTAATGGAAGCCAAGGAGCATAGTTTCCATCTTATCAACATTCAGGAAGTTTGTGCTCATCCAGGCCTTGATGTCCGACAAACAAGCTGACAGAACATCAGAGGACACAGAGTTGCAGCTGGAGAAGAAATAGATTTCAGTGTCATCTGCATACATGTGGAAGTTTACAGAAGGCATCAGCTAGAGGGAGCATGTAAACAAGGAAAGGAAGGGGGCTAAGGATGAAACCTTGAGGTACGGCGCAGGTGACTGTGCAGGGGCAGGAGGAAAAAACTTTTCTGGAGACAAAGTGATGGGAATTGCTTAGGTAGGACTAGAACCAGGTGAGTGCGGTCCCACTGAGATGGATGAGGGAGAAGAGGCAGTGGAGAAGGATGACTGTTTCAGCGGTGAGGTCCAGGAGAACAAGGAGGCAGAAGGAACCCTGGTCACAGAGAGAGAGGATATCACTTGTGACTTTGATAAGCACTGTCTCTGTGCTGTGGGCAGGGCAAAAATCAGACTGCAGGGGGTTGAGAAGGGAAAGATTTGAGCGAAGTTGATTTGCAACAAATCACTCCAGAACTTTGGCTAGGAAGGTCAAGTTAGAAATAGGCCAGTAGTTTGTCAGATTAGAGGGGTCGAAGTTGTTTTTTGAGGAGGGGAGTGATAACAACGGTTTTGAGGGGGAGTGGTATGAAGCCTTAGGAGAAAGACTAGTTGACTGTGTCAGCCAGCAACAACAAAACAACAACAAAATTACATTTGTATAGCACATTTTATGTTGGGAGGATGTCCTAAGGCGCTGGACACACAGAGTTACGGACCCAAGCTGAGGGTCGGGGTGGGGGAGGTGGAGGGCGGGGGGGGGGGGGGGGAAGCCTGTGGTGTGAGACAGTGTCGGAGCCGGGTGACGTTGCAGAGGTGGGGGAAGGCAGAGCAGATCATCGCACAGATGTAGGGTAGAAAGGATAGTTAAGGGTCAAACAAGATCCCAAGGTTCCGGACTGGCTTAGTAAGGTGGAGTGTGCGCCTGAGGTGAGGAGGCGCTGACGGGAGCCAATCAGGAAAGCCTCGGTCTTGTTGACGTTCAACTGAAGAAAGTTAGCTCTTATCCAGGACTTAATGTCTGACAGACATTCTGTCAGCACTACAAAGGTCCTGGAGTTAAGGGTGGAGGGAGAGATAGAGTTGGCTGTATTCCGCACACATGTGGAAGTTGACCTACGTCTGTGGATGATGTCACCAAGAAGGAGCATATAGATATTGAAGAAGAGGGGACCAAGGACAGAGCCCTGAGGAATGCCAGACAGTCCGAGGGCTAGAGGAGAAGCCGTCTGAGGAGATTAAGTGCAGGCGATGCGAGAGGTACAATCTGAGTCAGTCAAGGACGGCACCATGGAGGTTGAGGTGAGAGGAGAGGCAATAGATGAGGATAGAGTGATTGACGGTGTCGAAAGCAGCAGAGACGTCAAGGAGGACGAGGAGGCAGAGGGAGCCCTGGTCACAGAACGTCATTTGTCACTTTGACCAAGGCTGTTTCTGTGCTGTGGGCGGCACGGAAACCCAATTGGAGGGGTTTGAGAAGGGAGTGGCGGGAGAGGAAGGAGCAAAGCTTAGAAGCAACAACACGTTCCAGGATCTTGGAGAGGAAGGGGAGATTGGAGTTAGAGAGTAGAGAAGAGTCCAGGGAGGGTTTTTTTTAAGGATAGGAATGATGACAGCAGTTTTTAATGGAGTGGGAACAGTACCAGAGGACAGGTCGAGGTTTACAATGTCAGTGAGTAAAGAGGCAAGGAGGTGGAGCTGGAAGGTAAAGAGAGGGGTAGGGTTGGGGTCAAGGGAGCAGGTGGTGGGTTTCATACGGGTTATGGTGGTGATGAGAGAGGAGGGGAAGACAGGTTCAAAGGTGTGGAGGGAGGGGTGGGTAGGGGCTGGTGCGGGTGAGGAGATGGGGAGGGGGTAACAGATGTAGTGGCAGAGGTAGCTGAGCGGATTCCCTCGACTTTGGATTCGAGGAAGTCCAGCATCTCCTCACAGTTGGTATTTGAGGTGAGGATGGATGAGGCATGAGAGGGTGGGTGGAGGAGTCGGTTCGTGATGGAGAAGAGGAGCCTGGGGTTGTCCTTAGCCTCTAAGATTGTCTTGGAGTAGAATGAAGATTTAGCGGAGGTGAGGGCGGAGCAGTAGAATTTGACATGGTCCAGCCAGATCTGCAGATGGACAGTTAGGTTTGATTTAAGCCAGGCGCGCTCAGCGGAATGCGCCTGAGCTTTAAGGGAGTGGAGGTGGCTGGTGTACCAAGGTGTTTTGCGTGAATAAGAGACGGTTCGGGAAGAGGGGGGAGCGAGGGAATCGAGAGTGGAGGAGCAGAGCTGTGGAGAACAGTGACCGAGGAGGATAGGTCATTGCGAGAGGACCCCCAGAGGTGAAGGAATTCAGATGACTCCAAGGCAGCCGAGGTGGGGGGGAGGGGGGGATTTTTTTTCCAGCAGTGGGCAGAGGAGGGAGAGTTGAGTAACCAGCAACTGGGTGGAGAGGGGGTCAAGGCAGCAGGTGATGGGGTTCATATGGGTGATGATGGTTCAGAAGTAGGAATGAGAAATGGTGGGGGCAAGTCAGTGTAGCGTTGGTTGGTGGGGGGGGGGGGCGGGCAATGAGAGGAGCTATGGCGGAAGGAGTGGGAGATGTAGAAAGCATGGAGGGGATGGGGGTGCTAGAGAAAAGGGAAAGGAGGAGGAGACGAGATGCACCTCTTCACACTTGACATTGTATGTGAGGTAAAGAACAGAACTTTGGGATTATTTTTGGCCTCCAGAATCGCATGGAAAAAGAGGGAGGTTTGTCCTGTGAGAGGCAGAAGGGAAGGTTTGAAGATGCTTGAAACACATTTGGAAGTGAACTGTGAGGTTGGCTCATGCGTGCAGCTAAAAATGTTTGCATGCAGTAGGAGCCCATTCTCAGTTTAGCAAGACAATAAAGTGAACTGCTTCCTTTCATTGTTATCACCACATCACCCTGCAACATATCTGTCAGGGGCTGTTCGCCTTCTTGTCATGGATAAAGTCATATCTTTAACAAACAGACATACGGAGAGGCACAACATAATGAAATTCACACCTTCTTTGTTTCCCTATTTTGCAGCCTGACTTCCCTTTGGACAATGGATAGTCAGCCTGCAGTTACACAGTATTCTATTGTAAATTTCTTGAAAGTACAATTTTCAACTTACCTACACCAAGTTGATGCCTTTGATTCAAATCTTGAAGCAACTTATTAATCGTCTTCCAGTCAGAATTTAGATCTTCTATTTTTCTCTAAAACAAAACACAGAACTGTATATTTGCTGGCAATATTTTTATCATCTTTATTTGAAAATAATGGACATAAGCAATGAACAAGTTTAACACGTATGTCACTGATTTTACCCTAAAACCTAAAATCAACATCCCACCTTGGTTGATTACGATAACTATGAGCCAAGTCCAGTCATGAGCAATTTAAACAGAATGGATTAATGACACTGTCATTTTTTCATTTACCATCTGAGATGGCAACTGGCAGCCAATAACTGACCTCTTGCTTTCTTGTCCATAACAATTATTTCATGAAGCATTCCACCTCTAAATGTGAAATAAGGAAACATAAAACAACACAGCTCATCAATCAACCCTCAATTGGAATAATGAGCCCCACAGCAGATGGTTAAGGGCAGATATGCAAACCCCTGCCATAAATGTTTTTAAAGGACATCAAAATACACTGTTGAGCGTGCACAGAAACCAATGGCACTAATCAACAGCAATGTCATCTTGCCAAGCGCTTCTTCACGGTTGCCTACTTTCTTCCTAGCATATTCGTGATTCCACATTTTGAGTCAGACATTTAAATTGCATTCAAATTATTTAAAAGTCTCATTGCTGACAATAAGTAGCAGTTCCTATAATCTGTTTTGGCTGTGATAGAGTAACAGTGAAACATCTCAACAGGAGTTTGTCACCAAGCAGATGCTTGCAACTTGTTGGGTACGGGTGACAGAATCATTTATTTAACAGCAAGATGTTGCAATGCCAGTCAGTAGTGAGAATGTATCATGAACCAGAGGACACTAAGAAAGTCTGACTGAAAGCTTCAATGCAAAGTATCCAATCTTGACTACACATAATGTAAGACGACCTGTGGTGGAAAAGGAATCAGTTGCTACTTGACTCGGACTCACTAACATGGAATCTGTCTGGTAGGCAGCAGCACACCACGTGGTTCCTTGCTCTGACGTGCTGGAAGTGGATTGTGGGATTGCCGTGAGTCAACTATGACTTACTACTAGTTTCCACCAAAATACCCTGTTAGCGAGTTCAAATCATTATAAACAACAACTTGCATTTATATAGCACCCCTCATGCAGGGTAGTAGCATCCCAGAACCCTCGAAAGTGGCGGAGCACAACAGTTCTTCAGCCCATTCTATCAACTCCTATTTGAAATGTAAACATTTTAAACTTCAGCTGTATCTGGGCTTTCTTCACAAGAAATCAATACCTCTGAAATTGTGAAATTTTGGGAGATGTTTAGCCTTTAATCTCAATTCCCTCAATAAATCCTGCATTGCTATCTATAAAACATGGTGTCTGTTGACTTTACCCAATGATTTACAGGGAAAAGGAATTTTGTCAACTGATTTGATATCACATTATAATTCTCACCAAATATATAATGATCGTCAGTCATTATAGCACTGCTGTAAAAGAGAAAATGATAACAAAGATCCAAGGGAAAATCTTTTTATTTGGGTTTCTTAAAATAATAAGATGCATTTGATATGAAATGCCCTGACTAAATGTGATGGTTGGTAAAATGTGTATGATGAGGAACATCTCTGCAGTGCTATATCATGAATTCAAAGCTTATTTCTGATAGATATAGTTTAAGTTAACAGATGACACTGCTTCAGATTCCTATACAAATACACTTTTGTTTTTTTAATGTCTTGTTTGTGCTGTCTTTGAGTCTGTCTATGTAACATACAACAGTAGTGATGCCAGGATCCTTATGTTGATAGATTAATTTTTGAATAATATCTTCCAATATTTTGCTTTAATTGTGTTTGCATATTTATTTTAACGCTTCACAAAAATATGTTTTTGCCATTTATCTGGACAGAGATGAAATATTATGTGGTTGTTAAATGTCTATTAGAAACACAGAAAGGCTAACAGGGCACTCGAGATCTTTACATGCTTCACTAAAACAAAAGAAATACTGCAAACGTTACAACTTGTTGTGGACCCGTTACTGCAGACTGGCTAAAAAAAAACTTCTACTTTGTGAAGGATTGAATTAGAAACAAAGCATCTTTGTTAAGCACCTGAACCCACATTAGTCTTGCACCCAGCTCATTTCCTTCTCCTCTATCCCAAGAGAAAAATCTACATATTCAGCACGTTGCTGCTGATTTTCCTCCTACACTAAATCATTTCCCTATAGATAATACTAATGTTGTTATTAAAATTCTGAATTCAAATTACATTTGAATTATTCATGTTTATAGCGGTTATTACAGAATAACTTCTGAAGCAATCTATATTATTTAAATTTATATATAAAAAACTTGGTGTCCAAGTCATGCCTTCAAATTAAATCATAAAAAACAATTACAGAGATTGAAAATCTTTACCATAAAAAACAAAACAAATAAGTTGTACCTTTAATGGCTGAGCGATGGGCCTTTCTTTATAGAAGTAATGCGCCTTGGACAAAATACTTTCCACATCAGCCTGCTTCGCTAACACTCCTTCCTCCGTCTCCTTAAACAGAAATAAATCAAAAATGTTACATTGGTTTGAAAGGATCTATAAAGCTATTTGTGGCTGCTGACTTACACAGATCACTGAATTGGTTTCCATCGGTGGATGAATTACTAACCAGGTTAAGTGGGACATTCTGCTATTTGAAACTTTTCCTACAGCTCTGAAAACCCCCTCTTAGCCAACAGCAACAACATCAACTTGCAATTATATAGCACCCCTCACGCAAGGTAGCATCTTAAGCTTACCATGGTTCCAATCATTTCATGGCAAGATGAGGAATACTGAACAGATACTTCAACATTTCTCATTCAGAAAGCAAATCTGAATTTTTATCAGATATTCAAATTGAATTCTCACCTGGAAGACTTGGCTGTGAACAAAGTTGAAAACGAAGCATAGGAACATTCAACTCATCAAGCCAATCTTTCCACAAACATTAAGCCCTATTTGGATTATGCACATCTTACCTAATATTTTGACAGTTATGTCTGCAAATATTCTTCCCAAACTTTATCCTGGCTGGTCTTGAAAAACATTCTAATTTCTGGTTGAAATAATTTCTCCATTATTCCATTGTCTCAGCAGTGCAATCATCATCACACTCCAGGGAGTATTTGATCTCCCCTGTCTATAGATTTCACTGTGAATCCTCAATCTCTTTCATAACTATAATATTCAAAGCTGCTTTTTTCCTGCAATTCTCCCCCTTTTCCTGAGGTTTTGGGAGTCCTTCTTCCTTCCACACAGTACGGCTCTCCAGTCCTTCGCCCAAAGGCCATTATTCATGAGTGAAATGTTGCAGTGAATATTGGCAGACTTTTTGACTGCAAAGGATATCATGGCCCACCTCACCCCAACCTTATTTACATACACAAAACTTCCAGCAGATATCTCTAGGTAGCCAATTGTAAGCGGATGCATGGGCCAATTTCTCCCATGCTTATCTTGGAGCACTGAAATCAATTGTATCACAATGACTGTTGCTCATGCTGAAATCTGCAAACCTAGCACCGACTGGGTTTCAGAACTGTGACTCTAAGTCTGTATGGCTTGGTGTTGTACTATGTGGCGTCTTCAACAACATCAACTTACATTATATAGCGCCCATCAGGCAGGGTAGCATCTTGGCACACACAAAACTTTTCCCAGTAGACCATTGGGGATGCCAATACCTAGCTATTTTTTGAAGCAATTAATGGACATTATCAACCATTTTGTTGAAGTCCGTTTCACACTGCCATTCCTCAGTGGAAAATCCTCTGTCTCTCTCATCTTTTTACTTGTTGTACTGCATCTATATTCTAAATTAAATAGGCTTCTCACACCGTCCATGACTCTCGGCATTTTGAAGACCAGGATGATGTCTCTCTCCGCAATGAATTTATACTAAATCGTGATAAGCGTCTACACAGCTTAGATACAGAATCATTCATTTTGTTTTTTTGTGAATCACTGAGAATGCATCATTGCCATTATGAAGACAGTGTTTCCAAAACACTGAGCTTCAGCAAAGCTTATGGTTGGCCAGATGGAATGCAATGGTCTTTTCCGGTTCTGCACAAGACTATGATCCCATGAAACACAATCCTGCATCTATTAGCTTTAAAAGGTTTAAAGTTCTGCTGCACATGAAATGCTCAGAGTAAAACCTTTAACCTGGAGCTAGTTCTGCTCTGACAGGCAGTCACGAATAAAGCCTTTTGATATGCAAAGGATGAAACTTTTCTGAGTATCTAGTATAACGCAATAGAAGATGTTGCTAATCAAATGTCTTTTTTCTGCCCTTCTCACGCAGATGACCTCTGTCATATCTCATTCCTCAGAAACACTGCACGCTGAACATGATGCTAACAAACTGAAAATGAAATGGAATCAATATTGTGTTAACACTGGATTCTTGATCCCAGCTCATTAGACTGTCTCTGACAAACGAAGGTTGATGGACGGAAACAAAAACAACATATATTCCCCTTCCCCCAATTCGTACAAGTATTGGAATTGCTTAAGCTAGTCACAGATCAGATAGCATAACCGCAGTATGCACAAGCCACCAGCAAAATATTCAGATGAAGCGAATCCTAACCAATGTTAAACAAATTAAACCAATTGGAGCAAACGGGTTACAATCTGTTACCATTTTAATGCTACTTTTATAACCACTTTTGCATTACAAATTCACCTTCTGGGGCAAGTCGCCTTGAAGGCAAACCACAATGCAAACCAGTGTTCCTGTTACTAAATTTGGGGAACCCTCAGAGGGTTGTGAAAATGAGGAATGCAATTCCTCAGAAGACAACACAGAAATCAATTGATGTTAAAACATACTGTATATAGATAGGAACAGGAAGAAGTTATTCAGCCCATTGATTATGGCAGATAAGTGAGAAATAAGGACATTAGGGGATATGGAGAACAGGTAGGGAATTAGATTGGAATTATATTAGCCATGATAATAAATAATAATAATCCTTGCATTTGATATAGCGCCTTGTCACGTTGTGCAGACGTCTCAAAACGCTTCAAAGAATATACTGTAAAGTGAATTGTATATTTTGTGGGCGAGTATGATCTAATATGCTGGCAGAACAGGCTTAATGGCTGAATGGTCTCCAACTGTTCCTATGTCTACAGTTCATTCACCCATCATGTGTTTCGTTCACCGACTGTGCCCCTCCACTTGGCAAACTTGGACACACTGCACATCCCCTGCCCCTTTTGTCACCTAAGGAATTTTACCAATGATCCCGTGAAATAAACATTCCCAATGTTTCTGTCGTACAATTGCAATAATAACCTGAATCCATCAGCAGCTCTATTAACAGTGATAGGTTTTGTATACCTTGGGTCCCAGAGATAAGATGCATGGTTTCACACTGAATGGTAATATTGCCTCTTATAAAACCAAACCACACTTATGAGAGTTGATTAATTATTCATTAGTGCCTGTGGGTATTATTTTATCAAACGTGCAATCAGTAGTGACTGTTGTTTGACTCTGAGCCCAAGAGATAATGTTGATGTAGGTTCCAATAGCAAATCACCTCATGAATTTTGGACACTGTTTACTCTTTGAAGCATGAAATAATATGCCGCCAGTGAACCCCAGAAAATCCAAATTAAATGCGTGCCCTAGGAATACTTATATTTCACACACCCTCTACATTGACCCTGCTGAGCTGTTTAATATGCAACATTGTGTCATATTAAAACATTGTGTTTGCAAGGTAATATGATGGGAAAATTGGTTTAGTAGGTTTAACAAAAATCCGAGTCTCCTTAAAGGGTTGAATTAGCAACATGTTCAATATGTATGCCAAGTGTCAAAGACTGATCCCTGATGCTGTTCTCAATGCCACTGTTTGTGAAGCCTATTTTTTACCAATTAAAAAATTCATAATACAACAACAACAACTTGCATTTATATAGCACCCTATATAGAGAGTTCCAGAATTTCAGGGCATAGTGACTGAAGGCACAGCCACCAGTGGTGGAGCGAAGCGTATGAGGGACAAACAGGAAATCGGAGCCGGCCTAGCAGAGGCAGCGGGTGGTGGAGAAGCAGATTGGATCAGTAGGGAGGTGCCATGGCATGAAACGATTAGAAAACGAGTGATCTTGAAATCGATCTGTTCGGTAATTGGGAGTCAGTGGAGTCTGGGAAAGATTGCTGTGATGGAGGTACGGAATTTTGTGCAGGTGAGTATCCAGGCAGCAGAGTTCTGAATGAATTGAGAGAGGAATGGGTAGAGGTCACCATGACGAATGGCAAAGTCTGAACCAGGCTCACAAGGTCACTATTCTTACAATGTAATAATTGTCAAACGTGTCACTAATTGACCCCAGTGATTCTTTCTCAACAGAGACTATTGGATTTCAATAAAATATTGTTTAAAAGCCATCAATGACAATAATTCAATCAAACAAAAAGATCTGCTCTATCCTTTTCTATATGTACTGAGTAAACATCATTATGAACACAGTGGACTTTCACTCTAACTCAGTTGCCTATAAAACCACCTCATAACAAGGCTATGAGTGTGGAGAGTTCTACCTGATTATTGTGCTCAGCTTGGGCACCTATGGATGATAGGAATGCTACAGGCTTGAGTACTTTCTCACAGAGAAGTCACAATTCCAATCTAATTCTGAGCCTGTTGAAATTATGAAGAATTGGTTGGTGGGTTTTCCACTAAACTTTAATTAACAGAGTCCACAGATAATTACAGCGATGGTAGATTTTACACCCTTAATCTTTACAGTGCCTCTAAATGATGTAGTGCTGTTGAAATCACTTTTACCTTGATGTCAACAGCCCCTGGTACTGGTGCTTGCTTGTACAATTCAAGTTGATCTTTTGTGGAAGCGGCCCACAGTGCCAAGTGGTTTAGCTGCTGCTGATAGCGAACAAAATCCTTCAGTAGCTCCTCGATCTCTTTCTGTTTCTCAGGTAGTTTATGGGAAACCTATAATAATAAAAATGGAATATCTTAGCATTATTCATATCAGTATTGTTAGCTCTTGTTATTGTTTAACGGAACATTTACTTTACAATTTTGATTCAGATCTGAAAAGACTTTTTTTGGTTGAAAATTTATGTTGCATTGAAGTAATCAGTTCTTTGCCATTTCATTTATATGCATGTTACAGCTTGTGTTATTGGAACATTATTATCAGCTTGCTTGGCAACAACATATTAATGATAAATCCAGCCATGCTAATCCCCAATGATGAGCTATTTACAGGAGACAATAAATCTAAAACCACAGGAGGAAAAGCTCCAGAATGACTGTTTCCATAACAACCACGACTGTGAGGAGCAGCACATTTTGTCAAATAGTGATGTTTAACTGACTGAATTTTGATGAGAATCCCTGTTTATAAATTGCCTTTTTACTGCATGTGAAATACTGACAAGTGTGTTCCTTCTTAGCTTGAGGCCTAAAGATTGTCATGGTGGGGTCACCATCAAAGCAGCTCTTTCTAAAGCAGTGAAATACCAGTTAAAAGTTGTAAATGACAATAGAGCGACTATTCTTTTAAAATAAATTCCTCCACGTTTGCCTCTGCTGTCCTTGTGTTCTACAGGATTCTCACATTGTGACTTGGTTGAGTCGGTGCGTGCAAACACTGTAGAACAGAAGGGCCCAAAGCAGCCAACACTGAGTTTAATGTAATGCACCTATTTTTCCACTGAATAGAGCTCGGGTGGGCCAAAACACGATTGATGGCTAGGACTTGTAGTGCCTGAGGAGGGGAGGACAAATTGACTAAGGGGCAATGACTGGCACAGGGAGTGAAGGATGTGGGTGTGGAAATGGCTTAGCAAAGCATGGCTGCGGGAAGAAGGCAGCGATGAGGAAAATGTAGAGAATTGGATATATACTTGAAAAGAATTGCAACATTATAGGGAAAGAGCAGTGGGGGGGCATTGGGGCTTATTGGATAGCTGTTTCAATGAGCCACAGGCACGATGGGCTGAATGGCCTCCTTCTGTGCTGTAGAATTCTATGATCTTAGAGAAAGTGGTGTTGTAATAAGCATCAAATCACAATATATATCTAACTGATCAATATAACCCAATAGCTTCATCTTTAAAGAAAAAAAAGTGCCATTTTCTTCAACTTCCATCCTCCTTTGCTTGCCATCCTTCATACCCAAAAGGTAACAACTTATAAAATACATAGTCAGTACACATCTCAGGAAATCCTGTGAAGCGCTTTGAGACATCCTGTTGGCATGAAGGGCACTAAATAAAATGCATGGATTATCATTATACCTCTATTAGGCTTCATTCCGATAGGGGCATTCCTTATCTATGTGCTCCCTCTGGGCGATGTCATCCGTAGACACAGGATAAACTTCCACATGTATGCGGATGACACACAAATCTACTGCCTTCTCCAGTACCAATTCCAGGTCCACCGATGTTCTATCAGCTTGTCTGGCAGACATCAAGGCCTGGATGAGTGTAAACTTCCTGCAGCTAAATGTGGACAAGATGAAAGCCATACTCCTTGTAATACGTCAATGCCTTCACTCCTGCGGATCTAAACTCCTCAACCTCCCTGGGCTCTCCCTCAGATTCACAGAACCTGTGCGCAACCTAGGCATCCAGTTCAACCCCCAGCTGTCCTTGCTTCCCCCACATCCGGTCCCTGACCACCTTTCTCCACCTCCGGCAGACTGTCCATCTCCAGCCATACCTTACTACAAATGCAGCCGAAACCCTCGGGCATGCGTTTGTCCCTCCTGCTTGGATTACTCCAACGCACTCCTGGCCGGTCTACCCAGCTCCCCATTCACAAGATCCAGCTCAGTCAAAACTCTGCACCCGCATACTGACCCAGACAAAGCTCCATACCCACATCTCAACAGTTCTGGCCAGGCTTCACTGGCCCCCCATCACCGAACGGCTCGACTTCATGATCCTCACACTTGTGTTCAAATTCGTTCACTCTCTGGCACCTCCCTACCTCTCCAACCTGCTCACTCCTCAATCCACCACCCGGCACCTCCGCTCGACTGGCACTGGCCTCCTGCTCGTCCCTTGAACCCTCCACCCCACCATCGGAAGTTGGGCTTTCAGCCACTACGCCCCAAATTTCTGGAACACTCTCCCTCAATCCCTCCGTCTTGCCCCTTCTATTCCCTCTTTCAATTCCCGCCTGAAAACTTTCCTGTTCGACCATGCTTACGGTCAAATCCCCCCGGCTTGGAGTCAGTCTCCGCCACTGTTAAGCGCTCCGAGATGCTATCTTGCGTGGCGGGCTCTATATAAGTGCAAGTGGTTGCTGTTGTTGGGCATTTTTCAAAATTCCTAGCATGACTGTCTTTAGATTGTGGGATGGTATAAAGGAGTAGAAGTATTCATACATTACATATCCAGTCAAAGTGTTAATGAATATAGATATTCACATAATACTTATTCAATTCAAATAATAATCCGATAATCCTTGCATTATGTCAAAGTACCTGTAAAAATTATTTTTTTCATACAATATCTCTACAGGTTTTCACACAATATGTCTACAGTTAAATTTGGGACTAGTGGTACTGATGTTAATACACAGTATGCTGAATCAGGACAGATTTACATGTAAAGTAATGAGAAAATATGAGAGCCCATCAATTTTAACCAGAAAGCTTCTTTTACAAAATAGCCATCCAATGTCTCTATCAGATCCATGCAAATGAGCCTCTACAGTCTTGCATCAGAAATCACAGCCACGTGAATGCATTTTACTAACAGAAAAATCAAGCCATGGGCAGAATCACATAAATTTTCCCTACATGACTGTCGCACTGCCACAAGGAATATTAGTTCATTGGATATGAACTCGGCTGAAGTTTTTTATTTTTCTTAAAAAATCCATTAACTATGGGTTAAAAAAGGCTTGTTTAACCACCTTCTTAAAGTAGTCAAATTAAAATACAACGGTTGTAAGGCATAAAGTGAAACTGTTCACGCCACCTGTACCCTACAGCAAAGAATCTGTAGTTGAATAATGCAATGAAATGTTAGGCGAGTTAAATCAGAATAGCCTGATTTCACAACTAACATTCACAACTGAATGAATTTGTAATATCAGGTTAACCCCATCAAAAAGACAGACAACAGCTTAATTCAGGTATGGAAATCAAGAGATTGTGTACTTTAGAGACCAAGTAATTTTCACTGTACCAACCTGAATTAACATCCTTATTCTTCTCTGGGGTATGAAAATTAAGATCGAGATATTCTGAAGGTTGCTGCATTTATCATCTTTGGCAACAGGTGCAGAATATTGGGAGTTAGTATTAAAATGAAGTTTTGGTGTACTTCAGATAATCCACTGCTTCAAAAACTGGCCATCATTCCCACCCTCGCCCGACTCCACTGGCTCCCCATCCCTCAGAGGATCAAATTCAAGATCCTCATCCTCACTTTCAAGGCCATTCATGGCTTTGCCCCCTCCTACCTCTCTGACCTGCTGACTCCCTACCTACCTGCCCACTCCCTCCATTCAGCAGGCTCCGGTCTGATCCATGTCACCCGCCCGACCCACCCTACCATCGGTGGCTGGGCTTTCAGCCTCTCTGCCCCCACACTCTGGAATTCTATCCCACAGTCCCTTCACCTCGCTTCTTCCCTTGCCTCCTTCGAGGCCGGTCTCAAGGCCCTCCTCTTCGATTGTGCCTTCAGTCGCCCTCCCACCTCTGCCGTCCCTCACCCCTACCCCACCCCTTCCCCATGCTCAGATCCTGACCCCTGACTGTCCAGTGCCTTGGGACGTTCTCCCGACGCGAAAGGCGCTCTCTAAATGTAATTTTGTTGTTTTTGTTATTGAAGACATCTAAGTTTCTGCACTACATTAATAAGCTGCAGAAGGCATATCCAAAACATGCAATATCAGCATTGGATAAGACAGTAAGTACATGATGCCAAGCTAGACTTGGTATTGTTGAGATTGATGGAAGGCGATTTCGTGATTGGAGCAAATATATGCAAAGAACAAAAGAGAACTTTCATATTTCTAGTGCTACTATAGTAATCACTGTAGAGGATGTTTCTGTACTTAAATACAGAGTCACGTGTGGTCATAAAGTCCCTCAAATATCCATGAAGTGAATATCCAATTAATCCAGTAAAATGGAAGGCATTCCTTTCTTTCTGAACAATATCATGGAATTTTTAATGTCCACTTGAACTAGCAGATGTGATGTCGCCCTCGAATAACATTTCACACGAAAGATAGCACATCCAATAATGTTCCTCTGTACTGCATGCGAGTCAACCAAAACCATGAGCTCAAGTCTTAAAGTGGAGGTTCTACTCACACAATTCTGATTGAGAGAATGAACCATTTAAGGCAAACTAATTAGTAATAATACCAACAATCCTTGAATTGGATATGGTGCCTTTCACTTTGGGAGGATTCACAAGATTTATTGTAAAGTGCAGTGACCGTATTTCATAAGGTGAAACTGATACAAACTATATTTGTTTGATGAGAAAAGGTTGTTCCATCTTTTTTTTTGCAAGGAAACGTTAGTGCTACAGCCAGCGGTGTACACCTTCATGTGGAAGGGGAGGAGTACATTTTCGAAAATACAGAACATATTGCTGATAGAATTCCTGGCAGGCCAGAATGAACTTTTAAGCATGTGGCAGGTAATTTTACCAACTGTCACGGATTTGGTGGTTCCTGTGCTGACGGGATCATGGATGAGTCATCTGTAAAATGCAGCGATGCAGAACAGAATAATGTAAAGTCAGTTTAATAAACTGGAGCTTAATTTTATTATTTAAAAAAAGGATTATTTCTGTGAACTTCACCTTACAGGTTGGTTGCCTTCCTTCAAATAGTACATAGCAAATTGTGGATTCTTGCTGCTACAAATGGTTGCATAGATAGTTTGCAAGAAAAAACTGTCACTGTACTTGACAGTAATTACTGTACATGCAAAGTGGTAAGGACCTATA